TGTGTAATTACAGTGATATTTCGCTGCTGTAAAAAATTTACAATTTAATTTGTATTTCTTATTTTTCTATATTGATGATATAGAAACAGTTAGTTTTGTGTCTTACTCGTCTATAATAATAATAATATAGAAAATGCTAATTTTTCTTTCTTATTTTTCTATATTAGTAGTACAAAAAGTCGCATTTTTTTTTCTTACTTTTCCATATTAATAATGCGGATGATCATATTCTTTAGTTTTTTTGTTTTTTCTATATTGGTAATGTAGAAAATCTTAACTTTTGTTTTTTATTTCTCTTTGTTAACGGTATAGAGAGTAAAATTTTTTATGCATGAGTTTTTGTGACTATTATGCTATGAATTTTATTATGTAATGATAACTGCCGGTGTAGGCACCTATGCATCGGGTTCAGTAAGTAAAAAGATCTGGGCTATGTGAAGTTAAGTTGAACTATAGCTGCCAGGGAAGGTGAAACATGACGAGAATGTATGTTTTTAAAGAAATCAGTTAAAACCTTACTGTACGATTTTTTTATAATCATACAATATTTTAGTGTTGGAGCATCTAAGAAACTTGCTAGAAGAATTGACATCAGATTTCAAAGACGACAATTTTTTATATGATTTTTTGTATCATCTTGTATGAACACATACGATTTTTGAGTAACATCGAATAGGATCATACAAGAATTCATAACTGATCTTACTATGTGATTTTTCGACCTGGGTATGGTCGACACATGTAGCTCAACTTACGACTAACTTACGACCATATACAGTCGTATACTACACTCGTGCACGGCAGTCGTTTATTTCAACGTATACGTTGATTGTATTTGAACGTATGGCACCGTATACGTTCATCGTATACGATCGTCGTGTACGATGACCGTTTCTAGACGTATTTCGTCGTATACGACCGTTTACGATAGTGCTTTTTTGACCTGGGTTTATTCTAATCTCTATATAAATATTTTCTATCGTAAAATTTTTTTTGAAATTGATAATTATAGAAGTAGTGTTGAAAGCTTCAAAATAAATAAATGAAAAATTTTATATTTTTTATTTTATCGTTCGATGTATGAAAAACTCTATTTATCACTCAAACTTCGTTAGATGCATCCGAAGAAGGTATGGCGAATGTGCTTTAAGAAGACTCAGGCATTTTGAGAAGTGGGTGTGAGTGTTTGTATTGCTTATCCCTACACATCCCGACCCTCAATTATTTGGTTTAAATATCTAAGAATTTTAATCATAATCAAGCAATAATCAACAATCAATGAATAGAAGTAAAAAATATTGATACAAATGAATAACATCTTTCAATCAGTATTCAACAAATAATGAATGATTTTAATTTCAATGTAAATCTTTTTTTAGTATATTGATATGGTATGTTATATTTGTTTACAACATAATGATCATAATGTTGTATCAAGTTCATTGGAAACACATGAACTTATACTTAAATATTCAAATTTATTTGATTTTGATCAATTATTAATTTCAACCCAAATTGGATCTATAGAAGAAATTCGTGTTAGTGAACCCTTAAAAACAGGTAAATATTGAGAAAAAAAACAATAGCTTATTCAACATATCAACGTTGATTTATTGAAATGAATGATGAATTCGATTCAGCATCAATGATTAATAATGAAAAATGAATATCAGCTGCTAAACTTGTTAATCAATTACATTTTTTTTTCGATTAGATATATACTTAATATGGATGCTACGATAAAAAGTGATGATGAATTATGTATTAGTGTTAAATGTGCTATACCAATATGTCTATCGTATTTATAAACAATTTGATCCATTTGTTTATCTTACTGAAAGTATGTTTAATTCTTGTTTGACTTTTTTTTATAATCCAAAATTATTTCTAATGTCGTAACAGTAGGAGGGCCTAGGTGAAGGGGATTGTGACAGAGTTTAGTTGACGTGGCTTCAATTGGTTAAGGTCTCAAAGTTTTAGTGAAAGTTATGTGATAGATATGACAATTTCACTATTAAATTGTTGAAACATATATATATATTGAAATCTGAAAATTCAAGAATGGAGATTTCTCGATATTGATTCAGGAACTCTAGTCCTATTCCTACTTTTAATTTTTTTGAAACCAACAAAAGACTAGAACATTATCAGACTCGAAAAGATGTCAAGTAGAACACTTTATTGAAGCTCAAAGCCTGCATTTGTACATCAGAGATTGAAATTATACAATCATATAACTACCTCAAAAAAGTTCTAAGCCGAAGTTCGAGATATGAAATCAATTGTATCCTCTAAGGAGTTTTTCATTAGTCTTTGAAGACTTCTGATTAAATATAGTTTTGTAATTGATATGAAATTTCCTAATGAGAAAAATAAAATTCCCATCTCTATATGACTTGAAATACATTAAAATTTATCGAACATCAAGGCATCTTTTTTTTTCCTTTCTTTAAGATATTACATATCTTTTATCTTTATGTGAACATGGTGATCTACATTTACGTGGTGCATGTGCAAGTTTACTTGCTACATTAATTCAAACAACAATTCATCTTTTATTAAACAATGTTCACTTGTATCAACTGATTCACAAGACAGTTCAAGGTTATATGTCTTAATGATAATAATGCACGTGTTATACATGTTTTATTAAATGCTTTACGAACATTATTACCTTTTTTTTATTAATTAATAGTCATGCATTTACAATCATAGGAATTTAATTATTAGAAGATTCTATTCAACATACTACAAGTTCCTGTATTCTTGCTAAAGTAGATAAAAGAAATTTATGATTATAATAATTTTTTTTTGTATGTATATAAAATAGTTTGCGCTAGCTCAACTTATAGATGATATTGATTTTCGAATATTAACTTATCTTGAACAACAATTAAAACAACAGTACCCTGATATACGTGTTCGTCAAGCAATTGCTTCGACTTTTGCTAAGTATGTATTTTGTAGAGATAATAACTACGTAGCTTTTTTCGAATTTGAATGAATAACTCGATTTTATTACATTAAGTTAGTTATTAGCTACTTTTTGATTTTAAGGTTTGTTGATCACAATTCATTTTTACCATGTCAATGGATATATAAAATTCATCATTCATTACAAGCTCAAGCATCAACTGGAATACAAATTGCTTGTCATTTTTGCCTTTTATATAGGTTGGATGTTTAAAAGATATTTATGTTCCTTCAAATGTTTTAAGACCAACAACAATTCAACCAATTTTTTCATAATCAATATGATGAACTTCGTTTATTTATAAATTTTTTTAAACATTCCTTTATATTACATGATCTTAAGAATTTAATCTTTTCAAGTAAAGAGAAAAAAAAAGATATTTATAATGTTTTTTTTTGAATTCTTTCTTTTTATTTGAAGATTTATCAAATCTCAACAAATGAAAAAATGTTTTGAAAGTAGCATAAATGATTCAAGTAATTCGAAAAATTGAACTATTTTATCATCATTCTTTTGAACAGAATATAGTTGATATTTCAGTTTTCACAGAAGAAGAGTTCCAATGTTTTACATTTGAAGAATATATTTGATCATGTTTCGTCTGAATGAATTCATTTTCTCTTTTTAAATAGAATGAAAAAGATTCATCAACAACATCAAACACAGACAAAGTTAAAAAAGTTAATCATACACAATTAGGTACTTTTGGAAATTATTCGAATTAATACGTTCATCTTATCAATTACATAAAAGTTTATTAAATTCATCAGAAATGATCATTATTGTCTATGAAATCAGTTTTAAGTCTTATTTCTACACAAGATTTATCAAAAAAATTTAGAAGAGAAACACTTAATTATTTTAAATCAACATTCAATGTACACAAGAGGTAACTTATTTTAAATAGTAAATATTTATTGTGAAGAAAATTTCAATTATTAATCTTCTTTATTTATTGGTTAAGCTAAAACCTTTAGGATGTTGTATTGTGTCTAAAACTTGTCTATGGATAAAACTTTCGATGGAAATCTTATAATGAAGGTTTCTGAAAGGGTCTTTCCTAGAGAAGGAAAATTTCAATATAAGAATGTCATAGTTACAGAAAAACTGATTTTACGAATGTCGATGATCTTAACGAGAGTAGTTTTGTTGTGAAATTGTCAGATCTTTTGATTCGGTTCTATCTTGAAATTCGAATATTGAATCATCTAGTTTACGTCAGTGATCTGCAAGACACGCTATCAATTCGAAATTTGAAAATCATTTTTTTCTGTTAACACAACATTCTTTTAAAAATATTCTTTTAATTTAGTTTTTATTAAATCTTCAAATGTTTCTTCACAAGTATTATTAAATAATTCTTTAACTTATATTCATACAATAAGTATTCGACAATCGATAATTTATTTTATTTGGTTCATGTTATGCATCAAGTATAAATAGTGCAATACGAGAGTAAAATGAACAAAAAAAACGAATTTGATCTATTCTGTTTTTTTTGTTTTCTATTTTAGTTTTTATTGAACTAAAAAATTAGTCTTAAAAAATATATTAATACAAATGAAAGTGATTTTCAAGCTGCTGTACTCGATTTACTTGTTCAATTACTTTTAATTAGTGTTAATTATGGTTAGTTAGAAGCTGATGAAATTCGTTGCATTTCTAATCGTTTCGTTTATTTTTAAATAGCATTTTATTTTTTGTATTGCTGAATTTCTTGTTATGTTATCACATGATACACTTCATTCAAAACAAGTTATTAAAATACAAGATTTAATAAAACATTATGATTCATTATTAGCAAGTGGACATGAACCTGAAACACATAGTAGGAAGCAAAAAAAACATTTTCGAGAAAAAGAAATTATCGTTAAAATTCTTTATTTAGCTTTGGCAGCATTAGAATCAGTTTTATATGATTTTTTTTCTTGTTCGACTTATGCGAATAATTAAAATTCCTAAAACGTTTTATTAAATGAGAGAGTGTGAGTGTGTAGATGTAATTTTTCTCCTCGATTGAACCCACACCCACACTTCAACGAATTGATGATCTGAAAATAATCATCTTGTTGTTATATATTTGAGTTTGAAGGAAAACTAGACGTCTTAATTATTATAGATAAAAGTATCTTTTCCTGTCATCTGTATGTACTGAAAAAATAATAATAGAATTTATATTGTTATAGGCTTTACGATTGTTCACAGTTATTGTTAATAGTGTTCAAATTGAAGATGATAAATGGAAACGTCTTTCACGACAAATTGTCGATTTACTTCTTGCTCATTTACAATCTCAAGTTATTTTTTTGTTCAAATAGGATCAATCACTTTCGGATATTTATTCCACACAGTTAACACTATTTGATGTTGTATCATCAGTTGAATTACGATCAATTGATCCATTTGTTGTTGCTTTTCAAGCATTAGTAAATAGAAATGTTCGTTGTTTTTATTTATAAAATTTTTCTGTAGTTCAAAACTTTTTTTAGAATGTCAATTGTCAATCTACAAATCGATAGTTAGTCAATATAAATATAATACTTCGATATCTTGTACAAAATTTAACTGAAGATGCTATATTAACACGATAGAATGATGTTTTATTATCAGTTAATGGAACATGACATGAAACTTTTAGTGTGTAAGTATTCGAAATGATTTTATTTATAATTTAACAAGTATTATTCTCGTTTTTGTTTTCAGAGCTCTTCTTCGAATTTTACATGACGTAATATTACGAATTTTAACTAATACTCGACAATTATGTGGTCAAATCAATATGACATTAGTTTCTCTTGCATCCGATTATCTTTATGTACATATCACCCATTAATTTTGAAGATAAAACTTTCCTGCAATACATTAATTACTAATGAGCTAACGAAATACATTTGACTTTAAAATTCCTATTCTTATATAAGATCTATGATTTTATTTTGGCTAAACAATTTCGAACAATTGTAAATGATTTTCGTCAATTATGAATTCATGATGAAACTCTACATTGTCTTGATATATTTTCATATTTAACTATTTTAAATGAATGTTTTAAATTATTATGATCATTATTTTATATCTCATTATTATTACAATGGACACATTCTGAATATACTTGATTATATACAAGAAGCATGGTGGTCACCGACATTAACACCATCATCATCAAGAATAAATTTATCTATCAGTGGTCAATTACAATCTTATTGTGATTTAATATATCATCATGAATTATATGTTGAACATTTTACAGCAATAACAACACATTATCAATTATTATTATTATTTTTTATTTTATCTTATACATCATACATCAGTTGCAAGTCATTTATTTTTTTTGTGAAGGAATACATTTATATGAAAGTGGCCTTATATTAGTTTTATTAATTGAACAATTTCTTCCATTACCATTCAATAAACAATTATTACCTAAATATTTACCATTAATTTTATAAATATTATCAATAACAATATCAATCAATATTATTACTTAAGATTTTAATAATCTTAATTGTCCTATAGATATAACAAGAAAAATTTATGAACAAATACTTAAAAATCTAACTTATAAAAAATGATTATCATTTATGATGTCACCGGTATATTTTAGTTTAATTTATCTAAATAAATAAATATATATGTATAATAAAAATTTTAATCCAATTAAAAGAAATGTTTTTGTTTTTACTTTGACATTGTTTATGTGCTAGTAATAGATAAGACTTGAATAATTCAAAATTTCGAAAAATATTTTGAAATAGAAAATATGCAGAATTTCAGGTAATACAAATCGTAAAGGAAAGCATTTAAGCTACATTAGTATAATGACCGAATAATTCCTCTCGAATCTTATTGATCAAATTCTCAGTCGTGCTATTTGTACTATTACAATTAAAGAAAACGACGTCTTTCTAATATTATATTTCGAAATAAATTGCATTCGAGAATTTCGATAAACTCTCTATAAGTTTGAACTCGTGAACTCTGAAAACGTATTGGATTTTTTCCACAGCATTAAATTTTTAGGATGATTCTTATAGTAAATGAAAATTGATTTGAGAAAATAAGAAACAATATAAATCTGTTCTTTGTTTGTTTTCCTAGGATTTTGTATAGTTATATCAAATGAAACAAATTAAAATGACATTGAAACAACACCTAATACAATTTATGAAAAAAGTCTTTTATCATGCTTCTAATAATCAACCATATTCAATTGCATTCATAGATTCTCTATTAATATATTTTGATAAAATACAAAATCATGTTGAATTAACATGTCAATTTTCAACAGGTGATATACATGATTTATTACGTTTTATAATATTTATATCAGAAATAATTTATATAAATATATTTCAAAAAAAAAACATCATTTCTTAGTTGTGAAACAGATCAAATAATATCATGTTGTACGTTACCGAAAATACTATTATCAATATTTGAATATATTTATCAACGACATGGTTTAACTATATCAAATATATTCTAATCATATTTAAATTTGATTGAACCAGATAAAAGATCATCTTTATTATTTAACAAGAAAAATTAAATATATATATATATATATATATATATATATCATATATTTATTGACATGATTTATATTGTATAGTTATATTATTATTTTGTTTATCAATATTTATATAAAGACAATTTTGGAGTTGATTGATTATTAAGAATACAATTTCAAGAAGTATAAGCTTCATTTTTAGCTCCAATTAATCCACCACAAATCAATCTAATGATGAAAATAAACAAACAACAAATAATTTTAAAAGAAATAGAAGAAACTTTAGAAACAAATGCAACACAATGGTAACAAGATTGAAAAATAAACTAGATTTTATCTGTTTTATTTTTTTATCGATGGTCAATATATGCAAACACGTTCAACATTAGATACAAGTTCAAATAATTTATTTACGAATATTGAACGATTAGGTACACGTGATTTATTATTCTATGGACAACTTTCATATGATACTATATTAACATCAATCCAAAGCAATAATACATTACCATTATCAGTTAATGTAAGTCTCACATATGTTTTAATAATCGACAAATAGAACTCTAAGTTAAAAGAAAGATAAATTCATTGCTAAATTATTCATTTCAACAAACAGAAAATCTAGTGTTTCTCTGACTTTGATTTGATATATAATACATGGGTGTGGGTGTGTCCTACCCCACACCCACACCCACACCCAAAATAATTTGGCAAACAAAAGATGTTTGTTTCATAAGCTTCGTTAATAAAAAAATTTCACACAAAATTAGAAAAAAATAATGGTCATGCTGTATGTAAGACGCTTTTTTAGCTGATAAGAGTTTGGTGGAAAACATCGAAAGAAAAAGTAGGAAAATGACGAAAAGGAGAATGTAGAAGATGAAATATCGAAAGGAAGAACGTCGAACAGGAAAAACAGGAGAGAGGAAAATATCGAAAGGAAAACGTCGAAATACGAAATGTCGAACATGAAATTCTTATGATTCTGATAAAAAAGAAGGCATTTTATTTCAATGTATAGAAGAAACGAAATAATCATAAAATTACAAATACATGTTTATGCTATTTTTCTTGTCGTTCGATCAGTAAAGTTAATCTAGCCTACAGCTTTTTTGAATTTATTTCACTGCCGTTGAATCTAACATTCAATGTTTCAAATCGTCTTTCTCACGATCATCGTCATCCCTCATTCTCACCCTCTAGGTATTCTATCGCGTTCTTTCGAACTTTTTCGCTGTTATCCTTTTGATCTTTTCCTTTCGATATTTTCCTTCTTTACATTCTTTTTTCGATGTTCTCTCTTTCGCTGTTTTCATCTTCTACAGTTTACTTTTCGACGTTTTGACTATTCTACATTTTCCTTTTGTACATTTTCCGCCTTTCCCGCTGATAATATTGTGAACCTTCACCATATTACAGGGAAGTTCATGGAAAATAGTATTTTCATATACATTCGACGTAGCTCTATTCAACACAACACTTGGTTTTTTTTCTATCATTAGATTTATTTTCATTGATTTTTTTTTCGCGAACGGTACAAATGGTGCGCTTTTCACTCATACTCCTCCGTTTTAATGGTAAATCGTTTTCATCCTAGAGGAGGCTCAGCCCCCTCTGGCCCACCCCTGGCTCCGCCACTACTGTATATGTATACATGATTAACATCGAAGAGAAATTGAATGAAGTAATAGGCATTAAATACAGCCTTGCCTACGGTTTCTTTTCTCAATGATAAATTTGACTGTAATTCATTGATAGCACCTAAAGTAAAATTTGTGAACTGATCAAAAACAGACAAATGAGTAAGAGTATACGATGCTTTGAGTACCAATTTGAATTAGATAAATATACGATAATTTTAATACGGAATTAGTGACATCTAACAACAAAATTAGTGTTCCAATAAAAATGAATGTAACTTGGTTTGATGTTTTTTTTCTATGCTAATATAACGTTCAATGAAGATCCACAATCCATCGAGGATATTTCTGATGGTTCATCTATTCTTAAATATATTGGTTGGATTTGTTCAAATCTTATCTTTGTTACTTTCATCCATGCGTTGCATTTTACACTAATTTACTCAATATTGACACGTAATCATTATATTGACTCATCTCTGAGTCATTCCTCTTTTCATGTCATATAAAATGCGGCGGTTATATTTTTTTCCTTCTATACTACGAAACTAATTGTGAATTATGCTTCGCATCAAGCAGGAAGTAGCATCGTCGATGCCATCAGACAGAATAGTTCCTCTGAAACAAGTGCGTGTTGATGCAAAACTCCGTTCGTTTGCCGCCGATGTAATAATTACACAGGTATTTCAAAATGATGAATCTGTATCGGTTGAAGCTGTTTATTGGTAAAAAGAAACATCACTTCCTTTCTTTTGTTTTTTGGGTAATTTATATGATCATTATAGTTTTCCTATCGAAGAAAATGCAGCCATTTATGGTTTCGTAGCTCGCATAGATGACGAACGTGAAATTGTTGCTGAGATCAAAGAGAAAAACGCAGCACAACAAGAATATACACAAGCCCTTGCACAAGGTTATGGCGCTTATCTATTAGAGCAAGATGAAGCTTCAAATGACATATTCACTATTAGTGTGGGAGCGTATGCTATTGTTTTTTTTATCTTATATCAAGTTTGTTGTATTATGTTTTATTCTAGGTTAAAGCCTGGTAGCCAATGTCATATTACAATTAGTTATGTGAGTGAACTCGATTTGTTGCATTCTAGCAAAAAACCAACAATTCGTTTCGTTGTTCCTACTACAATTGCTCCGCGTTACTCACCTTCACACAAAGGTATTGCATCTCCAGGCAGAGATGTCCATCGCGGCGCTGCCGCGGTGGCGGTGGCGGCGCGGCAGCGGCAGGTTTTTAAAAAAAATCACCGCGGCAGCGGCAGATTTTTTTAAAAGTCATCGCGGCAGCGGCGCGGCAGCGGCAGGATTTTTTTGGAGGACATTGAAAAACTGTATGAATTTAATAGAATTTCACGATTTACAAATGAAACGCCCTAATATTGAATAAATCTGATGGACTAGTACCCATATCTCTGGTCAAATATAGTCACAGCAGTGAAATTAGAAACACTTTTTTGAAAATCGTCGCGGCAGCGGCGCGGTGGCGGCACGTTTATTGTATAATTCATCGCGGCAGCGGCGCGGCAGCGTTTCTTTTATAAGTCATCGCGGTGCGGCAGCGTCGCGGCAACATTTTTTTATAAACCGTCGCGGCGCGGCAGCGGCAGATTTTCAGCCGCGATGGACATCTCTGTCTCCAGGTGAAACACAAGTGGCATATGCTGAGTCGGTTCCTTACACAATCGAGTTTACGTGTCAGGTGGAAAAACTCGATCAAAATGTTGCCTGTATTTCGTCTCCTTCACATCCAATCAAAATCGATTGTAGTAATGGGAAGATCTTTCTTGTCACACTTACTCAACAAGAAATTGAACTTGAGTAAGTCATTTGTTGTCTTATCTGAGTTGGAAACAATAATAGGCTAGAAAAAAAATATTTTCATCTTATTCACATGTATATTAAAAAGCATGCGTTAATTTGTCTTTTATAGTCGAGATATTATTATTGATGTTGAATTGTCAGACGTTCGACGAAATACAATTGCAGCCATTGATAATGGTGCTGTTATGATTTCATTCATACCAAGTGAACAGGATTGTCGACAAGACTCCAATAATGTGACGAATGAATTTTTTTTCGTAATTGATTGTAGTGGTTCGATGGCAGGTGATGACAAGATTGGTCTAGCACGTAAAGCAATGTTACTTTTTCTCAAGAGTCTGCCAGTCAATTGTCGTTTCAATATTATTCGTTTTGGATCTAAATTCTCAGCACTTTTTACTGATCAAGTAACTCGAGAGTATAACAAGGAAAATATGTGTCAAGCTGAAGCGATGATCAAGGATATGGGAGCTGATCTTGGTGGCACAGAATTACTCATGCCGCTACGCTGGTTGAAGGAAAATAAACCACCTGCAAGTTGTGTAAGACAAATCTTTCTATTAACGGATGGAGAGGTTTCTAATGTAAGCGAAGTAACAAATCTCTGTCGTGATATGGCCGCATATACGCGTATTTTCTCATTCGGTTTGGGTCATTCAGTAAGCGACTCATTCTTTGTAAATAATTTCATTTACGTTTTTTTTAATTTTCATTTCATAGCCAAGTCGTGCCCTTGTTAAAGGTTTAGCTCGTGCTACCAATGGTTACTTTAATTTCATTGCTCCACATACAAATGTGGACATCTATGTTGCTGAACAGCTTGCTCGTGCCTTGCAACCAAGTATCGCCGATGTATACGTCAAATGGAATACAAACCAACGTATCCTTTATAAAGTACCCGAACATGCTCCACCCGTATTTGTTGGAGATCGATTACTTTTCTATGCTTTGCTCGATGAGACAATGCCATTTGATCACACAACAACTGTTGAATTATTTGTTGGCATGCAACAGCAACCGATTGGTTTAGCTCGTATAGATCACGTACCATCAGTACTTGGTTCACAATTTGTTATGCGTTTGGCAGCAAAAGCATTACTTCGTGAACTTTGGAATGATCAAAAAACCATAGACAAAGAACTTCTTGTTAATATTTCAATCAAGTATGGCATTCTATGTCCATATACCGCATTTATTGGTGTTGAAAGACGTTTCAATACTAACAATGAAAGTAATATCGATATGAAACTTCGCGAAGTGCCAATCATGATAAGTAAGACATATCGGGAGTCAAGGAATATGTCCTGTAGCTATGACTTGTTGGGGTCAACAAGTTATAGCCTCTATGGTCTACAAGTAAAATGTTCTAACATGCGTGCTTCTTCAAAGCAATTTTACAAAACAGTGCGACGAAACAAGGGATTCAGTGTCAATATCGGCTCGATTTTGCAGCCTGCCGTTAATTTTGTTTCATCTCTATTCGCCAAAAAAAGTACCGAAAAACTTAACACTTCTGATTCAAAACCTGTAACACATTCAACACGTGACGATATTAATCAATCAGTACATAATTCAAGTTCTTCTAACAGTCAGACATCAAAGATGATCTGGCCAATAGACGAACAGAAATTGGTTGATCGCTTTATTGAATTGCAACAATACAATGGTCTATGGATGTTAACAGCAGACGATGTTCATCAATTGACAGGAAAATCTCTCGCTATCTTCTCATCATCAGTGATTGAAAAACTTGAGAAGAATATTCAACAATCGGTAATAACCACGGCAATAGTTATCATTTTACTTGAAACTCGATGCCTTGCTTTGAAAACACTTTGGCAAGCCTTATCGAACAAAGCATATAAATCTTTAAAAGATTTACTAGATGGAGACGAGTCCAAGGTGGAACAATTAATGAAAGACATTCGTCATCAATTGCAATGAACACTAAATGGTAGTATTTTAATCAAGAATTATCTGTCAATATCATTAGATAGCTATACTTTATATAAATATATTCTTTTTTATTAATTATTCATTTTCCCGATATTTCTCATATATATATCAATGAGTTAAGAAAACAATTATAGTTACTACATAAATAATAAATACAATAATAAGAACATCTAATAACTATTTCCATCGGTTTTAAGTTTTTTGTTGTTCTATTGTCTTTTGATTAAGTCAACAGAATTATAGACATGTTTATTGTAATTGTGAATGTTATACAAGATTACATAAAATAGATTTCATCAACACGCGTGTAAAAATTATCCAAAGGAAGAATCAATTATTATGTGGATTAAGATAAAATGATGATCTTTAAGATATCTTTCTTAGTGATATTGGCTGTTGCATTATATACGACTTGAATGGATCGATTACCAAGAATATTTTTTGTCGAATAAATTACTCACTATCATCTATTCGATTTTGATATTAATAAAAAAACATTCTCTATTTTATTCTCTCCATTCTCATGCATCAGTTTTATAATCCTTATTAGTTTAGAAAAAAATGAAAAAAGACGAAATTATGCATTTTTCCTATTGTGATCGTTAGTAAAATATACAAAAAAAAAACGATTTTATCGACGTCAGTCCATGTGTTCCACTCAAAAATAATTGATTTTTCAATCTAAATGTTTCATTACTATATGATATATCTTCAATATGTTTTTTCTTATTGTTTTCATAAAATGTTTGCTCGTCGACCATCAGTATTGTTTTATAAAAATTTCATGTTTTTATTATTTTTCTCTATTGAAATTTGTCAGTTCAATCATTACATTCAATTTGTTATACATTCGTTTATTTGCTTTTTGATTTTATGGATTGCTATTTTTGTTATGATACAGCTCGCTTATTTCAACTTCTAGCACATTACAGTTACTGTCTTAGAAACAAAATGATAAGGGTTCATAAAGACTAGAATAATTAAATAGAACATCCTTGTCTAATTTTTCCTATCATGAACAATAACATCTTTATTGTAACAAGTTTGCCAATACATCATATTGAGGTTCGATATTCATGACACTTTCAAAATTGTTCATTTTCAATGAGCTGATCATCAAAAAAAGCCAATGTCCAAGTTAGAATTTTATTTGGCAAATTAAAAGAAGACACCAATAAAAACCTGTTCGAGAGGAAGAAAATTCGAAATAAAACGGAATTATGAATGTTTTAATGATTTTGATTAATATGCTGAAATATCACTATGGCTCTGTCGTTGACCACTGTTATCAAGTGAGTAAGTATCTGGTAGTGCAAGTTTCGAGGCTTTCTGTAATTGATAGTTGGTACGAACTTGTAATGTTCTGATTATTATCGTTTGAATCTGAGGCCTCGTGCACAATTCTATGAACTGAAAATCGTTGGAAACATGATATATTGGATGTTTCTTGCGGCAGCACATCATTATCTTCAGTCTCATCATCGTTGCATCTATGACTTTGTGACCAATTTTCTCATTCGTGTAGCTCTCCTTTGGGGCTAAAATGTGAAACTCAAATGTCTTTGTTAGCTTCATTATACTGGATACCAAATATACAAAGTGTAAAAACTCGAAAATACAATAGGTTTTTCCCAATGATAATCAATTATCAGCAAACATTGTCCTTTTTTTCATTTCTACATTTCGAACAAAATTTTTGCTTTCTATTTTTGGGGAAAGAGTTGCTAAAGTCTTTAATAGAGGGAGATAGAAGAACCCGCAAAACTTCGACTTAAAACTTATACTCACTATTTTCTTCGAAAATATACGTGAGTTCAACAAAAAATTGTTCTACACTCATCTCTAATATTCATACTTTTGTTCAGATTATTAATCAATAAAAAGTCTTTTATAGTTAAGTCTATAGATCAAAGTCGACGTATCTGGATTCTTGTAGTTTTTGACGAAGATTTTGAAAACGAGATTCTGCAATCGTTTCTCATTGGATTTTGGCTTGTAGCATGGTCAATCCGTAGGAAAAAATCTTCTCTTTCGATCTTCGCCAACTTCAAATTCGTAGCTACTTCCTTTCAAAAGTTACAAGAGCTTTCCTGGGACACCTGATTTCAGTAATTTGACCTTGAAGGAGTTCAAAAGAGATCCAGACATGGGTTATTCATCATGCTGAGTTGAATAGCGATGTTTATTTTCAGTTTTAAATCGACCTGAGATCACTATTTGAGTATTTTTAAAATTCAAAAATTTCTCCTATACAACATAAAAATCAAAATTTTGGAAATCTTCGTATAGTGATCTCAGGTAGCTTTGAAACTGGAAATAAACATCATTATTCGACTAAATATGATGAATAACTTATGTGTAGATTTCTTTTGGAGTCTTCCCAGGTTCAGTTTCTGAAATTGAGGTCATCAGGAAAATACTTGCAATCAGGTTTTGATTCACTTGGATGATCTCGAGTGTTGTCTTTTGAATAGTGAAAATTCCAGGTCTCTATGTTGTTCCTATAAAAAGTTATTTAAAGAACACTCATGTTCATTACAGTTTAGCACACATAGTAATATAATAGCTTTTAGTTGCATCTATTATTGTTATTTTATTGAGATTAATTATTTCTTAGTAAAAACAATAGTTGAATGAAAATAAAATAGACAAAGATTATAATGTCAATTTATATTTCTTGTATAAATGTTAGATTAAGTTAATTTGAAATTAGAATTATTAAATAAAAATCTACCAATGTTGGGGTGTGGGTGTGGGTGTGGGTGTTGGAGAAGACATCTTCACCCACAGCCACACACCTCACACCCACACCCACACCCTTGTGATTATGGATCTTCTATTCACACCCACACCCACGCTCAAACTGGAATAACCCTCAACAATGATAGCATTCATTCTCATTCAATTGAGGGCTCAACCGGTTCGGTTGGTCATGGAAATTCGTTCAACATTATGCCACCTTATCAGAAAATTGCTTACATCATTTTCACTGGAGCGAATTGTGTTTGAAGTACCGTTGCGTCTGTAAGTCTCCTTTTCACTGATACCCTAATCCCTTACTGCTCACTCTGACACCGTTATAGCTTACCCCACCGCTTGAAGAAAAATATCCGAGAATACATATATATGCGAATAACTTTTCATATAGAAGTGAACAGAAAAGAGATCAATTGAAAAACACATCGACCTGTCTTTGGAAGACAAGAGAAATCAGTCTGCTAATCCCAACTCTTGCTTTTGAGCAATCGACTAGGTCGAAAATGAAGAAAAATAAGAGGGTGAGGATGCGTGAGTATAGCTACCGCAATAACCGATAATTATAGATATTTCGAAATTGCATAAGAATCTTATCAAGTGGCCCGAAGTATTAATCTACAGAGGGATATGAGGGTGAGGGTGTGTGAGTTTCCTAGAACATCTGCTTACATCTTTTTTTCATAATAGTTGGGACCAGTGTTCGACATGGAGTCGCTACAATCAACGCGAGTTTGAGGCGCCTCGGGTCAAATCACGTTGATTATAGCAACATCATGTCGAACACTGGTTGGGACGGTTTTTCTTGTTTTCTTTTTGTTTGTGTAATTTTTATTAGAATTTTTTACAACTGTCATGTGCATAATTTTTATGCTAATTGATTTTCTATTACTTCATGCATCTTCAGACAGAACTTCATAGCAAAATGCACAGTTGTAATATTATGTTCTACGAGAAGCCAAAAGTCGACGATACCAATTTTTTGCTACTTCGACAGCAAATTTTGATAGTGCAGCTTGCGGCGCTAGATAAGTGAAGCCATGAAAACTATCAGGCCATATGTGCAGTTCTGCGATGCCACCAGCCTGCCAGATGCGCTGAGCGTAATCGACCGCTTCATCACGGAAAGTTTCGGTGGAGCTAACATCAATATAAGCTGGAGGCAAATTCATAAGATCTTGTGCGCGTGATGGAGCAGCATATGGGGATACATCTTGCGCTCCTCTCTTATCGCCAAGCAGCGCTGTCCAACCTGTTAGATTTGACTGGCGGTCCCAGAGACCCATACCCTCGAACTGATGAGTTGAAGGCGTTTGGTCACGGTCATCAAGCATAGGACAGACGAGCAGTTGACCATGTAATGCGGGACCCTTTCGATCACGTGCCATTAACGCCACAGCAGCTGCAAGACCTCCGCCTGCAGAAACCCCCATCACACTAAGCTGGGCCAGATCGATGCCTAGCTCTTGCGCATGCTCGGCAACCCATAATAATCCAGCATAGCAGTCCTCGGAAGGGGCAGGATGTGGATGTTCGGGCGCAAGACGATATTCTACTGATACGACGACAGTATTGAATTCCAGCGCCCAGTCAAGTAAGAATGAGACAATGAGGCGATTATCGCCTGCAATCATTCCGCCGCCGTGTATATGGTAGATGCAAGGCAGTAATGGAGCTGATGTAGTTGTTGTCAAAATCTTAGGACGACAGATTAGAAGCGAAATCTCAGGCGCATCTTTAGGACCAGGTATATTTCGTTCCTCAACGTCAATCTTTCCCTTTCGACGTATATCGTCATCAGTTGGTCGCAGTTTTCGAAGGCACTCTCGAAATACATGTATATTTTCGAGTGTAACAGGAGGAATTACTCCAGCAAGAATTAATCGCTGCAAGGCCTTAGCAAGTTCTGGATCATACGGTGATCGCTTATCGGTACTGGCCATCCTGTAAGTAATCTGCAAACTGAAGATAGAAGAAAAGTGAAGAAAGGATTATCAATCTATAGACAGATAAATGACATCACTTTCTAGTATTTCATTCGTAATTTTCCTCAGAAAATATGTATATTTCGAAAGAATCAGTTTGTAGTTCCATGGGTGAAGACGAACATCCTCACTCTGATGTCTTCTCAAGATAATAGTCGATACATGCTAAAAAAAAAATTTAAAAATGAAGGACGTAAAGAACAGTAGACAATAGAGAATGGCTGGTTCCTAACGATAGGCTATGTGGTTCAACTAAATTTCGCCGACAGTCAACGTTAAATATTACAAGTCGAACAGATAAATCTTCATTATAATACAACATTATAATTAATTTATATTCAACTAATTACCACTGCTAGAACATTATAAGAAGTTGAAGACAGACTTAAACAAATGAAATGATATTACAGTATATTTTCGATCTTTTTATGTATTCAGGAGGTAACATTTAAAAAAAAAGTGTCGTTATTTAACAAAAATATAAAATAAATGTGACAGCCCTAAGTAAAACAAACAAAGAGTTCATGATGGAAATGAATTACAAAATAATTCAAATTTTCTCTATTATCAGTCTACTACGGTCTATATGGTCTAATTAGTAGGGTCTACTAGGGCCTATCAGGACTTCGCAATACTCACATCAAGAGAGGAGTGATGTGAGTCGTATCGTGGCTCCCACACCGAGAGAGACGTGATGGAAGTTGTTTCGTCGCACCCACGTAGAGACCCTACTAGAGCATACAGATCCGATAGACTCTGTACACCCTATAGACCCTACTAGACCTTAGTAGACCCTACAGACTCTATAGACCCTAATAAATATTAATAAGCTCATCATAACTACATATGTATAAATAGTCTACTGATTTTGAATTATTTTGTAATTCATTTTTTTGAATTACATTGTAATTCATTTGTGTCATGCAGTGCAAACAAAAAACCACTAAGGCCATGGATTTACGCGTAAAAACCGTACATTTAGGGCGTAAATCAAACGCTCTTTTGGATAACCAATTCAAAAAATATTAACCTCTCCTTTACTCAGTTTTTTCTACAAAATAAGTTTAGCACGTTAAAATATGCCCATTTTAGGCATAAAAACATTGTCTTTTTCTTTACTTGTCTCATTGTGTAGTTTCTCCTTCTTATCATTTATTCATGATAAAAATGAATGATGAAGTGAATATGGGTCACATCGTTTCTATGCTCTCTGTATCATTGTTGGCCATGTGAGCAGAATGCAAACAAAATTTTGACTAACAGAAAGAGAGCGCAGCATTCTCTAATGATGAAAAAATACAGATTGTAATGTCGAAATATTACACACAGTTATGAAATCCTCAGTGCTACTTATTAGTAGACTAGAATATATCAAATTACAGCGAAACCACGCGCGTCAGTATTATAAAAGACTAAATGAATAAGAAAAGTGGTTGTCTTGTCGTCATTTTCTTTTCCTATTGCTCGTTCGTGCGTATTCGAGCATATTGAGTATTGAACACATACAGAAGCGAAAACGTGGAAACAAAATAATGCAATATAAGCAAATGCATTTTGTACATTGGTCTCTGAATATTCACAACAGGCGAAAGGAATCTTTATGAATAGTCGCTAACAATGACGAAACTTCCAAGAAAGGTATGAAAATTCAATGAATAGTTTTAATCATGAAGGTCTTTATTCGATGAAACCAATCAAGAAAAAATATTACTTCATTCTAATGTGACAAAAACTCCGACTCAACTTCGAAAGTGTCTAACGATGCTCTGGTACAAGAATGAAGAAAGAATGAATACTTACGAAAAGAAACGATACTTTATTTCACTTAAATTGAGTCTCTAACAATTACACTCGACCTTGACGAAGCAGCGCGTAACAAAAGAGAAGACGCATATATGTGTTCGTTATCTATAGATTGAGTTTTTTTTTCGAAAAAGAACTTAGTCTACCTGTATTTCGTTGTTCGTGAATATTGTTTCTACGAGTATGATAAGAAAGGAAAAATAACAAAGTGTTTATTCTTCTATACATTGTGGTTTACCTTCAACTGTAATGGATAATAATTTCGACTACCTAGGCAAGGATAAAAATGATAAAATCGCATTAAAATGGCTCTCAAATCGACATAATTACAATGATGCGAAACGGTCACAAAAAACGCTCAAAAAATGCCTCCTTAGTGATTCATTAAAATGGCGTTCTTTTTAATAGTGAAAATGGTTTTTAAAAAGTGCTAAAATAATGCTTACAACGCACACATTTTTTGCCATCATTTGTGACAGCTTAACACTGTTATAATTATGTCACTTTGAAGGCATTTTATTCTGAGGCGTCGGCTTAGTCTTAGCATGACATTAACTTAATGCTACCAGTCGTACTTTTGTATAACGACCCTAAGACAAAAGTATTGTAGTTTGAATTGATTAATGAAATGCTAAAGCGAAGTTGGTGTCTCTGACTTATTTCATTATTATTGTGTTATGACTTTAATCCAAAATCATTGTTGTTATCCAGTTATTACAATTTGCATTTGTTTGGTATTAAAAACAATACTTTTGTATTAATATTATAGCACAAAAGTGTTTCAATTAGTCGAAGACACCAGCGTCGCTTTAGCATTACATTAGTCAACACAAATAGTAGTAATTGTCTTAGAATCCTAATACAAGTGTATGACTGTCAGTCTGTTAGTACTAATCTGATGCTAAAGCGGCGCCCACAATTTTAATATCTCATTGTCATGCTTATTTCTGCCTCATTATTTGTTTTATCTTCTTCCTCTCATTTGATTTCTTGATGCATATCTGGCTGAGTGTATTCTATAGATATCTTTGGGGCTATTTTTAATATATTTTTAGGAAAAATTGATACTTCAATCTTGGCTTTGCCCTCATAAAACTAAACTGAAAGTATTTTGAATTTTTCTTGGATTTGAAACTTTCGGGTGTTGTATAGGAAGATAGTTGCTACGTTTCACATATCTTTTTTTCTCAGCATTGATCGCGCTAATGGTTGGATGAAAACTCTATTGAGCTATCTATAGAACAGTGTAAATTAGTTGTCAATATTAGCTGCTTCTATTGCCATATATGATTCATAAACTTTAGATCAAACTGAGTGCATAACATTAAATATTATTACATTTTCACTATTGTCATTTCGTGTTGTAATTCTCTAGTCTCATGCTGATATCATGAGAAAAATGTTGCAAGTGATTCCTTGAGTCAATTTTTTATAGGTTAAGTTTCCATTAGTGAGCTGCTTCACACGATGTATGTTCACCTTTCTTGGATCAAATACCAATAGAATCAAATACTCAACTTGGTTGTGAAAATGTGTGCAGAAAGGATATATACATTATGCATTCAATTCGGACAAATTTCTCAAGTACAGTGAAGTGTGCAAAGAATTCTAAATGATGAATCAAGCACCCTGCTCTACAGAATTTTTAAAATCTTTTAAACGAAAACGAAAAATCAGTCATGTAGACTATAAAGAGAAAAAAATGATGAGAGCATAGAGCGTGTTCCCATGTCCTTTGAATCGGCTAAAAATTGCCGATTAATCCCGATTCATTGAAACGATAATCGTGAGCTGAATCGCGATAGAATCGCCGATTATTCCCGATTATTTCAGCGATTTTTATGATAAATCGTGATTTTATGCAAGATTTAACCGTCTGTTTACTGATATTTTCTACTATTTCATTGGCTCTTTTGGAGACACATATTTGAATTTTTTCTTGAATTTAATTCAATTTTTTTTGTTCTCAAGATCCAAGCCGATCAGATCGTGCGATCTGTCCGATCTCGAGCTGGTCCAATTCTTATCAGACCGTTTCAGGGTAGTCCTCTCCAGATCATGGATCGGGATTGGCATTTCCTTGATTAAAAATAACCAAGAAATAGTTTATCAGAAAAGTATATTTGGAAAACTTATTTGTTATGCATTGAACGGCGTTGTTTATATATCCGTGTGTGTTCATAACAAAACGGTGAATGAATAATTGTCATGATTTATCAATGATTTTTGAAAATCAGCTCTTCTCTCATAATCGTGATAAAATCTGATATAATCGTCGATCTTTTAAAGAAATACGATAAATCACGATTTACGCCAATTTTTTAGAAAATCGCGAAAATCGTGGTGATTCTCACGACATGGGTTATTATTTGTAAGTCATTCTTTAGACTGTTGACTTCTGAAATTTTCCAAGGGTTGCTACATAAATGCAAACTGTCGCGACTTTTGTTCTACCTGGAATCTGTCGATCATTAAATAATTTAAATGAAACTACAGTACTTATCTCAGAAATAATATATTCGACGCGATGGGACCTACCGGTGGGTCCCACATTATTTTTACAAGAAACTCAATAGAGAAACACTTTTTTTTTCATTTTTTTTTCTTAATCAGATGTCACACATTAAATGTCATCAGTTCTGCCTTTAATACCATTTAATCGTTTATTGGAAACTGCGATGCTTCTGATTAAAACAATCAAGACAAAAGAGTTTATCACAATCAGGACAGAAAGTTTTTACTTTCTTTGCCGCTGCATGACCGACTTCTCTTGATTGTTGTTGACTGATTTTCTCGTGGGTGATGGGTGTGGGTGTGGATGTGGACGTGTCGGTGTGTGGGTGGGGTGGATGTGGGTATGTGGGTGTGGAGTGTAGCTGTGGCTGCGGCTGCGGCTGCGGCTGCGGCTGTGTGAATATCTACCTTCACTCACACCCACACCCATACCCACACCCACACTCACACCCACACCCACACTCATACCCATACCCACACCCACTCACACCCACCCCACACCCACACCCACACCCCACACCCCACACCCACACCCCACACCCGCACCCAGCCACCCACCCACACCCACACCCACCCCACACCCACACCCACACCCATCCTTCGTTAGAACAAAACTATTTACTTGAAATTATAAAATGAAACAACAAGATATCCTATCGACTTTGGATGATATCGCAGAATTATATTTATCAGGCACTAGGTAAGCTCGAAATAAAATAAAAAAAACAGTGCAAATTTACAAATATAACGTGAGCACTGTTGCTATCATATGACTAAGAATAGTTAATAGTTGCTATTATAAAATGAAGTTACAATTCACCTTATAACTATTCTAGTATAACTCTATAGTTTGCACTATGTCAACCAATAACAACAATATTAATTCTTGTACAACATAAGAGATGAAAAATCTCACAAAATAAAACAATTAGTGGATAAAAATAAACTGATAATCCTCACATTGTTCATTGCATGAAATCAAGAATTTTTAATTATTTCATATTAAATAAAAAGAAAAGAATGAGTCTATTTTTTTTAAAACATAATATCATTAATGATTTGTCTTAATTCGATCTTCTGAAAATAGAACACTATGCTACGAATGTATATCGGCAAAAAATCGTAACACGTCAACTGTAATACCGGAAAATTCAAAAAAACGAGTTCTAATATCAATGCTTTCGTACTATAGGTCCCAGCTCAAACTGAGCAAAATCTCTTCTTTGTTCTAAGAATAGGTGATTTTGCTCCTATTTGTCAATCATTAACAAAATTTCGATAGCAAAAAGGAGAGTGCATTTTATTGATTTTCGTCATCGCGTTGTGTTAATTAAACCAAAATAACGAGCCGATAAATGATCTTATTAAATCATTTTATTTTTTCGCTGAATACTTCACACTGTCGGCTACAAAATTCTTATGGATCGGTTTTTCCAATGTAGTGCGCATCCAGAGAAAAACATGTCACCCTCAACTTTTTTTGTCTATTATTCATCATTGCATTTCGTTCAATATTTTTGACAGAATTTTCAAACGACTAAACGAAATCGACTCGGGTTTTTAGAAATTGCGGCAGAGTAGAGAAATGCATCATTTGATGAAACAATCAAATATCTAAATAGTCTACTTTCGAAGAAAACTCGAAAAAACTGTGAACAAAACGTCATCGTGTCACAATTATGGAAGTCGATATATATGTGTTCTATACTCCTTCAGTATTCACTATATTTTCGCGGTTGAATGTATAATTTCTCCTATTTTGATACATAAGTTTACACAAAAATTCAGAATATTTTCTTTTCATTAATCTTTTACATGACAAAATGATGCTCATGATGACTATCCTATTTTAGCAACAAAAATTCTCACTTTTACAGATATTTAAATTAAAAATTTTCATAGTCTTATTATTTAATAAATAGTAATTATTCTCTCGAACAACTAATCTTACTTCACAAATTTCTTCTAAATAAATTTTTAAATAATCTTTCAATTTGATATATAATTCACCAACAACATATTCTTCAATAGGTACATCATTTTGTCGATTATTTCGAGTAGATCTTCTTGATGGAATGCGTTCTAATAAATAACGTAAACAATATTCATAAACCACACTATAAAAATAATTCAAATATTGAAAAATAAAAATAAAAATAAAAGATTAAACTTGTATTTACGTAGAAACTTCCATATATAACGACTTTGAGATTCCATGAGTTCGATAAATATATGTTCAATACCTTCCAATACTTTGTTCCAAACATAATCTGTAAAAAAATGATAATTCATGTGCGACATTTTGTTTTAAAGCAATATCTATGACTAGAAGAACAATAGTATTAAAGTTATGCGTTGAGAATAAAAACTAGATAGCATACAAGCTTTACTTGTAGTACGAGATCAGTTTGAAGTACCTCAAGTTTCGAATATCAAAAGATCTCTAAAATCATTTAAGATTTCACTCAGACTCAATTCTGAGAACTTCATTATTATATAAATATCGTGATTAACAATTATAATTTAATCGAAGTAATTTTCTTTATTTTTATACGATAAATCATACAATTTCAGTTTTATTTCCTATACACAGTGAGAAATCGTATCAAATAGAATACTTTTATGTATAATACTGACATTGATGTATATATATAGTGTTTATAATTTTATTTAATAATGGTTAGATTGAATTTTTAGTATCT